TTAATAAGCTTGGTGCTACTAATGATGAAAATTTAAACCGATTGATCTTTCACACATAAGTGCGTTGGCTATCAAAAAGAAATTGTTTGATTCGATTTTACAATCTGTTTGACTCTGTCGTAGGGTTTTTGGAAAACAAAGACAAATAATTGCGCGAAAACAAAGGCCATATAGCTCGAAGAACAAAGAACCGTTGGGGAAAAAAGTTCTCGAATGGCAGCCTCGTACTGGGGAGTACATACCCTGGGGGAGGCCTATGTTCCGCAGTGGACTTGTGTGTGGATGATGATAATGAATTGCGCGACAAGCTCATCACATCAAAGAATGATATCGTATACCTGACAGACCTTAATAAATTGCTTAATGATATGAATCCATTCAAGGCGATGACTTGAACTTAATAAAAACAAACGGTACACGGTACCGTTTATACGGAAATCTTGCATGTGTATAAAAAGGTCCTTAATCAATCAACAATAACCTAGTGATTAACAGTTAGGACTACAAACTCGGGTCGTGGGTTTGAATCCCCCATACGAGTATGTCGCAAAACACTCCAAAGACAAGCATTTTAAGCTAAAGTGCTTGATTGAGGACATTTTTACACACATGCAAGATATCGTATGAACGGTACTGTGACGGTTGAGTAATATAAGTATTAATACAGGATTTTTTTAACTTTGAAACGAAATAAAACAACCTGTGTAAGTGATTACCACTATTTTTATTTTAAAGAATATTTAATGATATTATGTACGAAATATAATTTCAGTCAAATAGCGCCGCTGGTAGGGCCGCGAAAGTGTGCGAAAGCGTTCCCGTAGCCCTGCCAATATGCGACGAAGGTGGAACACCATGGGGTTTTAGTCGGTGCGAGTCCGACATAACCCGTCCTTGCCCCCGCGAGGCAGGTATGCGTAGGCATTTCTCCATGTTAAAAAAAAAGTCAAATAGCGCCGCTTTCCGATGTAGTTGTATCTTGATGGACTAATTTTGGATAATATATTCGAATAAATGGGGCTGAAATTCATGAAGAAAGCAAGTTAGCTATGTTGGCCTTCAGGGCGACAATTGTCTATGGTATGTCTGCATAGACCAGACATTTAACGCAGCTTCACAGAAAGTAGTCGAGCGGTGTTAAGTAACACAATTTTTTTGGCCGGTTGACGTTGGCATGAAGCTTTTGACTTTCTGACAGACTTTCATCCGATAAATTCAATCTTTCCCATGCAGTATGTGAACTGGCACCCTTCTTTCGGAATCACACGTTTTAAAGGTCTATATCACGAATCCTAGGCCATAAAAAGTGTATTATTATCATCCGATATCAGTCGTCATTGACTGTAAATGCGGCTCCTTGCGCATCTTCGAAGAAATAAGGGCCGGTGATACCACCGGACCAAAATCAACACCAAATATTGAAGGCGTATAGAGGCATCTGATAATCTTCCTGTGAACTTACATCGCTCAAAGTTCGATATTCGTCGCTCCAATTTTGTTTGCTAACAAAACCACTCAACCAGAAATGAGTCTCATCACTGAAGATGATTTTTTTTACCGATCGCAGGGTCAGCCGCCAAATGCTCTAAAGCCACGCGCTGTCTATGGGCGTTGGGTTTTAGCTCTTGAGTTAGTACTTGAACTTTGTGTATATGAAAACCCAAGTCTCAACGCAAAATTCACCTAATTGATGTCGCAGAAAGACCCAGCTCTTGCGCAGGATGCGGAATGGACTGTCTAGGTTTTCTCGCCCACTGTCCCAAATGGTAACAATATTTTCTAAGGATCTTGCATTTCTTTAAAGAATAGGCATTGTTTTATCGATCATTGACCCGGTTGTCTTAAATTTATTCACAGACTCTGCAGGATGGCCATGAATGCCGTTAGGATGAACGTTAGGTGAAGAGAACATTTTGATAACAAATTTTAACAATTTCAATGCATTGTTGAAGCGTGTAGTATTCTATGGTGAAACATCAAGACTAAAAAATTATTTTTGTCAAATTTTACAGCTATTGCTTTACCAGTATGGTCACTATATGCTGCCAAATTTATAGCGTCTCTATTGAAAAATATTTTCGCGATTCTGCGACCGTGGCGTGATGGCAATGAAGAAGTGCAAATTCACCCGATTATAGATTTGTCACCGCAGGTGCATTTACAGTGCTACATTGCACATGGACATGGCACGATTTGGCAAAGTCGTGGTATTTTACCGCCAAATTGCATCTTTTAGCATCACAATGGTGGATCCAATAAATCCATTCCCTCATTTTCGAAGACGGTGCATATAGCATCATTAAAAAACCGTTAAATTTTCTTCGATCCATCGGGGTAACCAATATATGTAAACCACAGTTAATTAAACTAACTGCCTTGTTGGTCTAGTGGTCGTAAACGTGGCTGCTGAACATAAAACCGAAGTTCCGTGATTGAATCTCGGGTCGGACCAAAATAACAGTTACTGATTTTTTCTGTCGAGAGATTTACAGTACAATCCCGGAGTCGGTCGTATCGGATTGCCGTCCTATCAGGCTCTAAGAGTGAGAGAAAAGAGAATGCATTTGTGATTGCACTTATACTTGGGAATTAAAATTCTGTTCTGCGCAAATGGCTAGTCTTTGTTAAGATGGGCCGCCAGGACCTAAATTCGGTCTGAACGACATTGTTCTATTAAACTGAACGCATGGACGGTAGAGGCATCGAAAACTGTGTACGTGTGAAAAATTTAAGCCCTTGTTAACAGTAAGCAGTCGCCGGTTATACGTAAACCGTGTAGGTGAAAACGGCCTAAGGGTAAACCGCAAAATTAAAACTTCGTGTAAGTTCGATTAATTCGATGCGATTCGCTGCTACTGTTTGTTTTATAGACTTCACGTGCCCTTGAAATATTTTATTCCTTAGATATATAAACTTTCTCATAACAATTTTCTTCACCGACAGGTACATGGAAAATCACCTGAAGTTATAAACGGAAAAAAAATTTGTTCTTATTTTTTAATCTTATCAGATTACGACAAAAATAGAGTGGGGAAAAATATGTGGCTATTAAAAATAAATTTATCTAGAAATATGCTTTTATTAAGCATAAACTCGTATGTCGTAGAAGTAATAAATTCTCGTGACTTTAAACAGACTAGGCTCTAAATGTGATGCCTTAGGAGGATTATAAAGGTGTCAATTTTCTTACAAAAGGCAATAATGCTTTTCCTCCCGTAAACTATGTTTTAGATATGATGAAAGTCTATTAGATCCACACGTTTTCATTTTCAAGAAATATTACAGCCCTTAACAAGTCTACTGCTGAATATAGGCCTCCCCAAGAAATGCCACAAACACGGTCCTGAGCCATCCGCATTCATCGACTACCTGCGTGACCTGGTAAGTCGAAATCTAGTGAGGGGGAGGGGTGCTCCACACTCACCAAATAAATATTTGTGAGTCTATAAATATCAAGTAGACAAAATCGTTTCAACGAGACGCACGTCATCCATGTTTAAAAGATCTACGTTGAATGAATACAGACGAATATGTAAACGCATCTTACTCTTCCACGAATAACTCGGCAAGGTACTCGGCGAGTTGCTCATGCCAATAGTATAAACGTGCCATAAAGGATTAGGGGGGTGAAAACGTTACGTTTCAAAATAATATTTTGAAAAGGAAATGTTGGAGAATTGCCTCCAAGACTTGCAACTCTCTCTATCGCACCATATGATGATACGGAACGAGCGGTATGAAACAGATACCATTTTTAAAATACCTACTCGCCCCGCGTGTCGCCACTTCACAATCCTCAGGCTCAAATAATACAGGCAGGTAAAGAGTTGTCACGCACGGCATTCGGAAGACGTCTCCTTATATCGCCGGTCGGTCCGGTATGTGACATAATACGAGATTGTATTTTTAAAACGTTTGGCATGTTTGGCAGGCAAATGTTCTCTAACTTCCTAATTTGACTTTTTTACTAACTACGGTGCGTGATGGCATGATGCTACCACAAAGTAAATAGTATGTATTTCGATACTTTTCATTTAATTAACGATACTAAAAGAACACACTCAGTCCACCTAATGGTAAGTGGATGCAGTGGTCTAAAGATTCTAAACCTATACTCGATTAAGAATCAAAATGCAAATAGCTTAATTACCCCTGAGGTTTAAGTATACTATGATATGTAGTATTTGTTATTGGACGACGCATCGGCGTGATTTTAGTTCATTTCAGTGATTCTACGATTTCATCCGATGTAAACTCTTTCGTTTTTTCTCTGGTTTAATTTCGTAAGTGCTTTGAAAATTTTTTCTAGCCCTTATTTCAATACGAGCGAATAACCCTTTAATTATATAAGAGTGATAAATGACCTGATACGAGTAGGCGATCTGACTCTAAGTGATTATTACTGCATCCCATAGACGACTGCAGCCAAATTGTAAAATGGTAACAAAACCAATATAATTGTAATACCTTCAAATCGGAATTCAGCAGTGGCTTCACAGCTGCACTACATGACTTTCTAGTCTCGACAAGACTTATGAGTAGGACAGGTTTATAGTACACAGGTGTATGCACAAACACAGGTTGAACTCCCTGTTTACTCACTCTTACAATCCAATGGGAAGGCAATTAGGAACGATCGGACAGAGATTAGGCGTAGGACTAAAGGCTTTACGTACTTTTCGAGGCATGGGGGTATAACATTGCCTTTTTCTTACTCTACTTAAACTGAAGCTACTTAGAATTTATTTACAGAAAAATCCAATAAGTGATTTTGGCCTGACAAAGGATTCAAATCCGGGACCAGATGATCAGCAGTCGGATAATACCAAGAAAACAGACATATAGAGGCGGAATAGGACACCCTGTTGCTATAAATATTTTAATTACGCTGCTATTTAACAATGATATTTCCAAAAAGGGTTTACATCAATAACTATCTTAATTAACGTCTGTATCAAGTTGTAATATAAATATATAACTTAATATATTTGTATTCTTACCAAACATAAAAAACACAAATCCCAAAAGTGCAGCCCACATTGCGGTAGAATTTGTTTCACATATTATTAAATGGCATACACAATATATTTGTCACTTCACCTTACGCCACATATTCCAACATTCGGTGCAAATTTGATTAGGTGTCATTCATATGTTCAATTTAATTTAAAAAAATAACAATATTATTGTGTCTTTTTTAATTGAAAAATCTTCATTTATTGCATAATAACTTTTGATTTCACTATTATAATAGAGGCTACGTTTTTACTTGTAACTGTGCTATTGTATGTAATAATTACAGTGTAAATTAAAAAAAAACATGAATCTAGATTCTTTGTATTATCAGCCATTACAGATTAATCTCTTACTCTAATCGTATTATTCTAATGTCAGTGTTATAATTATTTACTTTATTACCTGTTGAAAGGTAATGTTGAATTGAAGTATTTCACAAAACGATTATCACAAACGATGTCTATTTTATAATTTTCCTATTTCTAACGAATTTATCTATACATGAAAAATTGCTTAAATTTTTAATAAGAGTCTTAGTAAGAGTTAAAGCGTATTATTTTTTTAATTGCATAAGAATCATAAAAGTACCTTTTAACTTCATTTTTTATTCATAGTAATTTATGAGGCAAAAAAAAACACTATTACGGTATTTTATACAAAGACGTAAAAATGACAAGTTTAACTAGACTGACTTTCACTGTTGTTCTGTTAATTATTCAAAGACTAATTGTTTTTAACTTGCTTATTAATTGTCTTGAGGTGGTGAGTAATTAATATGCGAACACAAAAATTTTTAACGATTCAGATTAACATAATATTTCCTTACATTATAAACTTTTATATTAATCTTATTAAACTTAAAAATCCTCGTAAATTATATGTTAAAGTTAAAATAATCGTAACTTTCATTTGCACCTACTTTACTAGTTCATTTTTTTATTTATAAGCAAGGGACGTACATTCTATTTATACTTATAAATTTTATTTATTTTTGACACATTAATTGACGAAACATAACGCCGCCACTTAATAAACCATTTCACAAAATAACACTAAGGTTGCTATTTCATCCCAAAAAAAAATCAGTGCGTGACGCGTACTCAGGGCGTACTAGCGAACTGGACTGTTCCAGGGGGCGGACGAAATGGCGCGGTGGTACGTATCGTACATGCGCAGTTACAAGTCTTTGCTTTGAACTTGTGAAATTGGTACTCGTAGGCGGCTTACTCTTTTAGTCCCTGGTTATTTGGATACAAGTAAGGCTTTGATGATGTGTATAAAAGTATCAGAAAAATTATTTTAAGGCTTCTTTAAGTTTTAGTCAATCGTTATGCATTTAGTCTTACAGACTGAATGCATATAATTTTAATTGTTAATTATTTTAAATGTTATTTTTAGCTGACGAACACATAAACATAATCAACACATTTGATTTCCTTTTTATTACTTTGTTACTAATTATGCAAGCTTTTATAAATTCTAAATATTTCATAATAACTTAGAAACGGAAACTTTTTTATTCAAAATAAATTATAAATAATACTTATTGTAAGTCACACTTACGTTCATTTACCACTGATTCGAAAAAAAAACTGTCTTGGGAAGTACCAGCAAGAAACCCAGCGTCACTTTTTTATGAAAAAAAAATCACTTTACAGTTATAAGTGGTTTCACAAATAACAACACAAAACAAATTTAGTTTGGTAGCGATCACTTCATACCCAGGGACTACAATCGTCCATAAATTCCTTAATATTAATAATAACATAAAAATAATAACACAAGGTTTCTTTAATAAGTTTTTGAACATTGATGATATAAATACTAGGTATAAATAAAAATAATATCCATAAATTTACTATAAGTATATTTACTATTTTACATTTAATAATAAATTACATTTAGTATTCTATTATTTTAATTTAAAATTCATAAAATAAAGTACTAGTTCTTTTTGAAAAGAATAACTGGAATAATTTAATGTTATTGCCATGTAACGTTCGGATGAGGTTTTTATATGAATTTTATTAACGAGTATATCAAGTAACAAATAAATTTACAGTTCACCTGACGATAAGTAGTACAGGAGCCCCTGGCCAACTGCAACGTACTTCAAACAAAGAAGAACAAAAATACAGTTGCGTTGTCACCTCCGTGGAATAACATGGAATGCCTCACAGCCTGTTATTATACTGAACTAACATTTAGACCAGAACACAACAGTGCAGGCACCGCGCAGCAGGTAAGAGGGTGGACCGACTCAGACTAAAGGTATATTAATTTTTCAATTTTAAATATTTTTAATGACTTAAATATGTACTTTGCCCAAGTTTTCAAAAGAACAATATTCAAAGTTGTTTTTTCAAAAATTCGATCCTCAGGATTAAAAATCTAAAATGCGTAGAGAAATTTAGTTTTTGTGAATCAGATCTTTAATAATTAATTAATAATTTAACAAATTAATACATTGTAGTTCGAAGTAATATTGGGTTTATAATATTAAAATAGAGCATTATATTTTCAAAATTCATAAGTTAGATTAAAAAAGTAGCTTTGATTGCGAAAATTTCATGTTTTTAGGATGTTATCATATGTATTAATCATGTATATTTATAATAGCGCGTGCTTAAAACAATATTTTTTTTAAATCACTATACACAAAACTTAATTTCAAAGTTTATGCATAAAATGTGGTTACTAACACGCACATATCACGCGAATTACAATGTAACGTTAGCGAGCTGAAAATTTATGGCCGAATCGTGTGGTTTAATATCAGCATCTTTTATGTTACCCATTTTCTAAAGCTTTTCATCAATTATTCTGTGTTGGAACATTTTATTTATAATGAATAAATAATATCACTTAAAAAAGACTTTGAGTGTATCACAACTAAATGTTGACAACGTATCAATAATTTCTATTCGTAAATTTATTGATTCAAAGCTAAAAGGCTGAGGCTCAAAATACATTATAATATTGGGTACTTATACATGAAATTTGCGTTTTGTCGTACTGGCCACTTTGATCTGAAATATCTCCTCTTTGGTTAAGAATTACAAATTAAAACTTATTAATTAATTTAGCTGGTACATTTGAGTTTTGAAAACAGTCATTTATTTGTTTTTTTCCTCATTTTTTTTCCTTTGGCGTGGCTTATTACTGCACAATGGAAAACCTGAAATATCGGTATATTTACGAGTACGATTTCTACCGTGGCACCAGTGCTGCAGAAACAGCTCGAAGGATTAATGATATGTACGGTGCTGGTGTCGCAAAAAAAAAGCACAGTACGTTTTTGGTTTCAACGTTTTCATTCTGGAAATTTCGATCTTCAGAACCAACCCCATGGACGGCCGGAGATCAAAGTGGAATTAAGGGCTATTTTGGAAGTGAATTTTGCAAAGCACTTTAGAGATAGCTGCAAGCTTCGGGGTAAGTAATAAAACTTTATTAATCCACTTGAAGCAAATCGGGAAAGTAAAAAACTTGAACGATGTGTACCTCATGAGTTGAGTGAATCGAACTTGCAAACTGGCCAAACGATTACGGCAGATATCTCTTGTCAGGAACTGCAAACCATGAAGGAAGAACTAGCTGCTAAATAAAAAACAGATTGGTAAATCGCTGTAGGCCACTGCTGCTTCACGACAACGCAAGACCATACACTGCACAACAAACAACCACTAAGTTAGATGAGCCACAATTGGAATGTCTGCGACATCCACCCTGCTCCCCGGACCTTGTTCCAACAAATTACCAGTTTTTCCGGAATTTGGACAACTTCTTACAAGGAAAAAATTTCACCTCCAATGCGGCAGTCCAAACCACCTTCAAAGAATTTATTGATTCTCGCCCCCATGGTTTCATTAGTAAGGGGATCAATGAACTACCTATGAGATGACAAAAGGGAATTGATAACAACGGTGCATACTTTCATTAATTAAATATATTTTACAAAAAAAAATTGACCTTATATTCCTCCCGTACAAAACGCCAATTTCATATGTAAGGACCTATTAATTATATAAAATAATAGTATTGTAAATAAATATATACGGGACTTTTTTCAGATTCGACAAATTTGAAACTTCATTTCAAATATATAAATAATGATTTACCGTTATGTCTGTATTTGAAAATATGAGTAAATAAGGCTTCTACTTTTATTTGAAATTATCCCAATTTGAATCTGATTTATGGGCAAAAACGTTTTTGCCTACCTATCAACCCTTACGAATTTGTGTTACCACGCATTTTGAATTTAAAAGATAAAAAGGGCAGAATGTTTGAGATATTTTTTAATTAATTTTTCTTGACCATTTATTTGCCTATATAACTTATTCTGAACTTTCTCTGAAAATTTGGGCGGTTATTGCAAAGTACAAAATTAAACCTATACTATCTATATTTTTACAAAAAATACAAAATAGACGTAGAAATAATTATGATTTTTTATTCTAATCAGAAAATTAAGCTGACATGAGTATGCCAGATGAAGGGTGTATTTTCGTCTATAAAAGTCGTCCCATGTAACAGAGAGAAGCTTGTGGCGATTAAATTCAGTGTAGCAGATCGTTGTCCATTAGTTTTTTCCGTGTTTATGCTGGTAGATAATATGGATAATTAGAGTGAGTTTACATTTACGTCGCGATTAGAAGTAGTGAAATAGAATCTGTTTTCATTCTAAGTGATTTTAATGCCAACGCAAAAAAAAACTAATGAATTTTTGTGAACAGCGAAGTTAGCGCTGCGCAGACGTGATCAAGTAGGAATTATTTCTAATATAATACGCACACTTATGTTAGTGAAGCGCATAAATGAAAATGAAAATGTATGTGAGACCAAAAAGCGTTTTAAGCCTCTATTTAAATGGTGTACAGATTGAATAAAACTGTGTTTACAGATTTTTTCGCCTTTAATTTACTTATTTTAACTTATTTTTATTCCCGACGTTTCGGGTGCTTTACAGCACCCATGGTCACGGGGGAAACTGAGATGTTTAACGTCTTAATCTCATAGTT